AACAGATCATTTTCAGCAAGATAGGAGGAACCTCTTGATCTGTTGAACATTTCACAGGCACTGCTTTTCAGAAGAAAGGAGAAGCCTCATTTGTCTGTCATGCTGGATCTGGCTCTGAAGGGGAGAGGTAGGTCAGAGAAACCTGACTCCTCTGAAACCATTTCATGAGGAATCTCAAGTTCAAGAACAGCCTAGTCTCTGTCATGAGTCTCATGCTATCCTTTGCTATAGAAGGAGAAACTAACTCAAACAACAACAAAAATGTACATAAAGACATAAGTCTTTCAGCATTTCCTTCACCATAATCCATGCAACCTCCAACAATCATGCCCTTCTCCATAAGAGGACAAATGCCTGCAATAATAGCCCACTTCCCCTCTCCAAACTGGAATTTATCAGCTTGCCTGAGCCCCAAGCACCAAAGCACAGGGCCCAGAAAAGTCCAGGTAAGGATTTCACTAAGGAGAAATCAACAAGCTGTAAAGACACTTGGGACCTCAAGGACCAAGATCTGGAAAGGGTATCAGATATAAACAGGTTTAAAGCTATTTGATGGTAAATGAATTCAGGACCAGTGATGTGTCATGATGGAGGAGGGTCATCGGTCTATGTGTTACTCTCATTGGTTAATTAATAAAGAAAACTGCTTGGCCTGATAGGTCAGAATATAGGTAGGCGGGAAAGACAGAACAGAATGCTGGGAAGAAGGGAAGTGAGGCAGACGCTATAGCTCTCCTCTCCAAGATGGACGCAGGTTAAGATCCTTCCCAGTAAGCCACTACCTCGTGGTACTATACAGATTATTAGAAATGGGTTAATCAAGATGTGAGAATTAGCCAATAAGAGGCTAGAACTAATGGGCCAAGCAGTGTTTAAAAGAATACAATTTGTGTGTTGTTATTTCAGGTAAAGCTAGCCATGCGGGAGCAGGGTGGGATGAAAAGCAGGCCCATTGCTCCTCACTACAGAGTCACAACCCTTGTTGCCACACCTGACAGCTTGATTTCAATCCACGAGACCCTCATAGTGGAAGGAGAGAACAGACTCCCACAGGTTGCCCTCTGCTATGAGAACTCCTTCAGCCAATAGCCTTTAAGATATAAGCCCACTTTGGGCGTGGTCTCATGAACTATAAATGCAGACAAAAAGCACGTACAGGCCCCTTGGCTACTGGATTCGGTTTCAGTTCCCAGAGCTTGTAGAGGACTGCAGATCACTACTCTTTCTGTGAGTTTATTTCTAGATAAATAAACCTTTGCTATTCTCCATTCTGGGCTATTATGGAACTAACTCTTGTATACTAACAGCTCTCTAATCTCTAAACTCAGCAGTGTGCCTACCCTGCACACACATACAAATTCAATAAAATAAATATATACTTTTATCTAAGTAATTTCAGTTATGCTCATTGATTTGGCCACTGTCATTACTAACTCCCCAACCTCAGCACTAAAAATAGTGCCTCGCAGGCATGAGAGAAGCAGGGTGCATCATGATGAAAGAATTACTGTGCCGGGGGTCAAGGAAAAGGGACTTGTGCAGATGATGCAGGCAAGAAACTATTGTGTTCAGTGCCTGCTGTGGCCACTGGGGTCTGTCTGTGGAATCGACTGAGTGTATTATACATGAAGAACAAAGACTGCCATTTCTTTTAGCACTCTCTGAGCTTCCTAACAGGAAAGGGAGGAGTGAGTGAGCATGTGTGTATTTGATGACTTGAAGATACTGGAGGTTCATTGACATACAAAGCATTTCACATACAGTGCTTCAGTAAATGGCTCTATCATCCAACTGTGGTCTGACTCTAAGAGGTGAGCCCTTGGCTCTCCATCTCCCACTATGCTTTTTACCCATAAGACAATCACATACAAAGACAAGCCACTAAACCAACGCCTTGCAGTGGGCTTTCCTCTTGAGTTTGCATTTTCCCCTGACTTAGCAAACTTCTGGAAACAACACTTTATATGACAATTCTTGATTTAACTTTTGTCAGCCTCGTACCAAAGCTTGAGATATATATCCTAGAAGTTAAACCAAAATGGAAAACTGTAGTTGGAGCTGCGGGCTACGTTCCGCCACCCAGCTCCCGCCACCAGCTAGCGTTACTCCGAAATAACAACACACAAATTGTATTCATTTAAACACTGCTTGGCCCACTAGCTCTAGCCCTTACTGGCTAATTCTGATATCCCGATCAATCCATCTCTAATAAACTGTGTAGCACTGGTCTTACCGGGAAAGATTCAGCATGTCTGACCTGGCGGCTTGCTTCATCGCATGCATCTGCCTGGGAGAGGGGAACATGGCCTCTGAGCTCACTTCCTCTTCCTCCCAGCATTTTGTTCTGTTTACTCCTCCCACCTATGTTTTAACCTATCAGGGCCAAGCAGTTTCTTTATTACTTAACCAATGAAATCAACAGATTGATATATGACACTCTCACATCAGAAAACCCCACACACAATTTCCCTTCCTGTTGCATATGACAGGCTTACCACTCACACTGCACCCTGGTGTTTAGAGACCCACACATAGCATCACGGTGCAGAACTACGCTGGGCTCCTTTTGTTGCTGTGATCAAACATTCAGACCAAAAGAAGCTTGGGAGAAGCAATGGTTTATCTGGCTTTAAGTCAGAGCCAGAAGTTCAAGCAGACGATGTGGGAACTCAGAGCCTTGTGCCACCTTCGTTTTCCAGCTCAGGACCAGGAGGTAGAGAATGATCCCACTCACACTGGGCCAGGTCCGTCTACATCAATTAATAATTAAGACAATTCCATGCACACATGTCTACAGGCCAAACTGACCAGAGCAATTCTTCAGCTAAACCTTCCATCTTAGGTTGATGCGAGGCCGTATCAAGTTGGCAGTCAAACCCTTGAGGACAAGAATCAAGAGCAAGCATGTAGGGGTCTGCCATGTAGCAGAAGAACACGGGCTGCCGGACATCAGTTTCTGTGTTCTTGATGTTCAGTATGTATGCTCTCAGTCCTGATAGCCAATCTGGCATGCTACTTTGAGGGTAACAGAGAGTGTGGAAAGGAGCTGTGGTTTAACGTCCTGTCTGCAGAGCCTGAGATCTGAAAAGGTGGGATGCCCTCGCCTCTCCCAACTTTACACACACAATCACATCTGACAAAAGTATAAGCAGTTTTAAAAACCAATTTTAACAATGAATTTAGACTCAGATACATGACATGTTGCAGGCTTCCTTCCCCAGGAGGGAAACTGATCCTTTGGCACAAGCATGCTGACCAGGTAGGAGTGTGGCTGAATTCTAGAACACAGTGCCGATCTGCAGAAGCATGCGACCTAACTCTCGTCCAGTTCTTTGCAGACACAGGGATGACTGCAAGAACCTTTCCAATCCCAGGGTGATGTGGGAGTGTCATATCAATCTGTTGATTTCATTGGCTGAGCAATAAAGAAACTGCTGGCCCTGATAGGTTAAAAGATAGGTGGGCGGAATAAACAGAATAGAATTCTGGGCAGAAGAGGAAGTGAGGTCAGACTCTGCTCTGCTTCCGGAGAGACTCTGCTCTCTGGAGCAGAGACGCCATGCTTGCCATGCTCCGCTTTCCCGGGCAGATGCACGCAATGAAGCTCCTCCAACCCACGATGGACTTAGGCTAGAATCTTCCCGATAAGCGCACCTTGGGGTGCTTACACGCATTATTAGAAATGGGCTAGTCCAGGTGCGAGAATTAGCCTGTAAGGGCTAGAGTTCATGGGCCAAGCAGTTCTTAAATGAATACAGTTTGTGTGTTGTTATTTCGGGCATGAGCTAGCCAAGCGGCCAGGGTGTTGGGGACGCAGCCCCGCCGCCGCTTCCTATTTCAACACCAGGGTAGTAATGAAGGAGCCAGGGTCATACAAGCTGGTCCAGGCGGGGACCTCTACTGTGGCCCTAAGTGCTCACCAGGATCCCACACTCAAAGCCTGACAAGTGGCAGAGAACAGGTCTAAGTGACCCAGCCCAGTTCCAGCCCGGCCTCCAACACAGACGCTGCAATAGACATGAAGTCACGGTCAGATGTGCAAGTCTTCCCCTAGCCACTGAACAGACGGCAGAGAGCAAGTTTGTTTGTTTCAGCTTCACAGTGAACCTGCTTTATTGGTGTTCAGGAGCTAACCGTGGATTGGAATGAGCTTACTGAGTTGCTTAGGAATCTTGCAAGCCAGTTTTTAAGTCAGCCCTCATTAAAGATAAAGTTAGATAAGTGTAAACAAACTGTATCCAAAGAAATGTTAGGTATCAACTCCGGGCATTTCCTAGTTAGACTGCCGGCTCTTGAGATACTAAGTATGGATGTCATCTGTCTGGCGGAAAATGCAGAGTGGCAGGCACCGATTACTCCGCAGCTAGTGATGTCACACCATAGGCTGGCATCGGCGGTGGTGGGGACATTTACATGGAAATGAGCAGACATAAATCAGGTGCCCTCTTCAGAGAGCCAGTTAATAGACAGAGGACGTGAGCATGCCACCCGCGTGGGCTTTCATCTTAGGCTTCCTGCTCTGGTATCTTTCATCTCCTCTCTGTACAGTTCATCTGCGCACATACGGGCTTGCACCCCACACACGAAATTTAAAATAAAAATGCAAACAAAAGCCTAACATATTCTTCTGTTTAACATCTTTTCTACCCATTACGTTCTAGTGAAATCTTTCCTTATGGTTGATTGTTGACGCCAATGCACTCTTACGGCCCCTTATTTTTTTTTTTTTAATCTTACAAATGTTTAAATAACTATTAGTCGAAGACTGGATTAAGAACTTGGATTCAACTGCCAAAAACAGAGCAAACTTCCATTCTCAAGATGTTCAGTCACTCCGGACTAACTTCCCAGATCACCATGGAAGTACCCAACTCACAGCCAAGACCTTGGGGGGACACAGGCTGTCCCAAAGAGCTCTCTCAGACCTTCAGATCTGCAGACAGTGTGGGCTGCAGCACCCACCAGGCAATGCACAACACAAGAAAGGAATGTGTACTCACCTCATCAGGGACCACACTGCTCCTGGGGACACAGGGAATCCGCGGCTCTTGGGCTCTGGAGGCACCGGTGAATGGCAGCCTCCCCAACCGTCTCTGTGTGGGAAGCGCTGTTTTCTGCTCTCACGGTGGGGGTGGGCATGGTGAGAGGAGGGCTGGGAGTTCCCTGGCTGCTGTGGGCTGTGCTGACAGATCACCCCATTGCTCCTGGTAGTTCACAGAATTGAGGAAAAATCAAGTCAGACAAAATGGCAAGGCTTGTAACAAAAGAAGCAGCCACCCCTTGCTTCCCTAGCTGAGATGCCAAAAAGGGTGTGTTTTCAAATCTCCCAGTCTCCTGTGTCTGCTATTTGCAGCTGTCTACTTTCAAAAGCATAATTGCACTATCAGTTTTTCTTTCTCAGTTTTATTTTTACCGGCACATATTCACTGTGCATGTTGCTAGGTTTTGTGAGGATATTTGCATCTAAGTATACGATGCTTTTTACCATACTCCCCCATACCCTCTGACCCCCACTTCCCTCTCAAGTTATTCCTCTTCACTCCCTGAGACAGTCCCAAGTGAGTCTTATATGCATGCATACTATATATA